AAGATCCGGATAGATAAACTGAACATAATAATATAAAAAAAAAGTCTAGAAAAAAAACAAAAATTAACCTGAATTAAATTATTAGTCCAAACAAAGTCAAAAATTGCTAAATAAATATGTATTATCAGAATTCTGCTTAAGTAAAATTGGAACACCATTACATGTACAAACCTACGTTATTTGGGGGGGGAAGGGATTGTTAGTAATAGAGACTGAGAATCCCATTGCTAGCAATATACCCAATCAGGTCGACCTCCTCGCGGTTCCCCCTGGAAACTATCGTGGTTAATTCCTGATGAATTCATCATGATGGGCTAACTGGCCTCTTTTCATTCTCATCTATCACCCTTCACTGGTGCTCCGCCAGCGTATCCCGTTAGCGCAGGCGGGACTACCATACCATTTTCACCCATCAAAAAAAAAAAACCTACGTTATTTTTATTAATTCATTCTATTAGGTATTAAATAATAAATATTCATTTACCCAAAACAAAATCTGAATTATATGTAATCTAATTTTGTTTAAAGATTAGATAAAGATGATTCAGATTATACTAAAAATATTTAATGCATCAGCTAAACTCATACATTAAAATATACTATGAAAATGTGCTCATTCGTCAATATTCACGTTGGTCATGCGTGATTTATGTACTTAGGTATTATATAACAAACTATGAGAACAATATTGCCATAGTATAATTATCAACTATTAATACATGAATATTACGTTTCATCATTTCACTTCTGCTAAATAAACTCTTGTTCGTACTTATCATTGATAACGAATCATTATCATGACAATATTCACTTGAAGCACTATTCTACTTTTATATGTATCTAAAAATTACTTACACATGGCAGGAATTCATATGACGTGTTACTGTAATATTTCGACAACAATACCTGTGTAGTGTGTGTAGTGATATGGGGTGCTGTGGAGACTGTTGCATACTACCGAAAGAATCCAGTAAGTTTTAAGTAAGTTATGTAACACTGCTATACTAATCTTTACATAGATAAACTATATTTTTTTTTTGTATTCTCCGTTTATTATTATTTGTTATTGGCAGCAGACTCCTTGTTTATGCGACAATGAAAAATAACTGAATCGTTTATCAACGTTGAGAACTGTATTCGACATGTTTATTTATAAAGGTTTTTTTTTTAATGAGTGATAATGGAATGGTAACCCCGCCTGCGCTATCGGTATACGTTGGCAGGGTACCAGTGAGGGATGATAGGTGACGATGAAAACAGGTCAGTTAGCCCATTGTGACGAATTCCACTAAAATTAACCATGATGGTTTCCAAGAGAAATCGCGTGGAGGTCGACCTGATAAGGTGTATTGGGTCAGTTAAACCCCATTACTAACAATCCCTTTCCCCCTATTTTTAAAGGTTTTGTTTAAGAAAATTATATCAATTTACTTATACAGCTAGTTTGTCTTATTGATATCTTTAAGTACCTTAATTACTTAAATATTAATAATAGAATAATTAATAAATAGGTACTTAACGCATAATTATCTAATGTCTTTACTGGCTTTTACCCGTGTCTTCGTCCGTGTGTGGCCGAATATGTTTACCAAAATAAAAAGCCTATAACGTTCTCCCTCCATTATTGTATTTGTATACTAAATTTTATACTGATATGTAAACCTTGACAAACAAACGCACTTTCATATTTATAATATTATATAGTTAAAAGTAATAAAATACCTAAGTAACTAGTTATATTATTAGAAAGATAATGTTCTGTGACGAAAAAAGATAATCCAACTACTTAGAATTAAACATATATTTTTATATATTTTTTACAATTTAATTTATTACCTATTAGCATTTAGCTTTGATGTACGACAATACATAGATAAAATTATTTGTTTTAAATTTTTTAAACATGATTAAACTGACGTCCCTTGTCTTAAAAGACGCACTACAATTAACCTGTGAGCTGCGAGGATGGTTGTTGTAGAAATAATAACACCAGAAAAATAGTGAACTCGTGTACTTGTTAAAAACACATAATATATAACCTAAACTAGTTATAATATCTCTTTTATATTAACTGCTACGTGCTAATATGGGATAAAATATTAGGAAGTTATTTCATACAATTTCTATGTTCATGGAACGTGTCATAATTTACGTTACCATATCACAAAGCTACAACACTCTGAAGTAAGTAGTCATTAAGATTACGGGTAAATATACTGTATTAATACAGTAGTTTAATGGTAGAGAACTCTAGGTAGATTATGACTATTTAAAGAGTACCTACATCAAATAATGGAATAATTTCCAATACTGAAACAGGAAAACAGTTATTGCTATTACATTGTAGACACAACATCTAATTTTAAACTTTCGCTTTGTTAACACATATTTAAATACACTATCAGGACTTAATATGACGCAATTGCAAGTAAATAGTACCTAAATACCTGATTTTAATGTCGATTGTGTATTTAAAATAGACATAATAAATTATTGTTCTTTTGCAGTAGACGAATAATATTTTATGTGGTGTACCTATATAAAATATTTTAAATAACCTAATCGCTAATAACTCTTTTTGTTCCCCCTCGTTTGCGTAAAAACTATGTATATATTTTATGTAACTCCTTTGCCGTTTCAATAATACTTTCAATAAAGAATTCTATGATTAGATCTCTTTTATATATCTCTTAGTATTCTGAAATTTAAATTCATTAAAAAATTTGTAATATCCAACTAAATTGGAACTTCTTTTTTTAAAACTTTGGTATTTTAGTTTGTTATGTATAGGTACATACATATATATGTTTCATGCGCATCTTCATAACATTTCTTTAATAATAACTATTAGATTTACGATACTTTTATTGGCACTATGAACGTCTTTTGTTGTTAAATTAAACTATAATGTGTATTAGGTATATTATAATTATACACGAGTGCTTGTTGCAATAAATAAGTAGAAAAAAAAACAATAAATAATTCATTCGATGTAACGAATTACACAAAATTCTACCACCAGTATCAACAATGGCTAGCTTGCCCCTACTAGATCTAAAGATTGTTAAGTACGTATCAAAGATTCAGATTTGCGATTTTTTAAGGAAGAATTGTTTTATAGTGTCACGGTTATTAAGAGTAATATGTTCGTCACACATTTTTGTTTGAAGAATACATATATGTAATATACATATAAGAATACATATAAGTGTCATAAACAGCTATAACAGTGACAAATAGCACTCCTATATACAGACTAAAATTGCAATTATTAGTATTTTTCTAAACTCTATCAATGAAATTATAAATTTTTAGAGTTCCGTAACTCAAAAAGAAATACGGAACCCTTACTGGATCACTATGTTGTCCATCTGTCTGTTCGTTTGTAAAGACCTTTTTTTCTCAGGAACGTGTAAAGATATCATGCTGTAATTAATATCAAATACTCAGGTCTACAATATCTTGAATCTATGAAAAAATCAAACTTCTAAGTTAACGCGATCAAAAGATACGATCATTGATAGCGTATATTTTGTCATTTGCAAGGGAATCAATCTACATAGTATTTCCCGTTGACCTACAGACCTGTAGATACATCAGCGGTCCCGTTTGCATTTGGCAGATTTTTTCAAAAGAAATACTTCCATACTACATGTAATTTAACAACACAACGAGTCGTCTTATTTGCGGATAAAAGTAAAAGACATTAACAAATTAGGCATATTAATATATAAATCTATCTATATTGATATATAAAGCAGAAGAATTTGTTTAATCGCTCTAATCTGTGTTACTACTGGTCGAATTTAAAAATTTCTTTTTGCATTTGATAGTTCATGTCTTGAGGACGGTTATAGGCTATTCCACATCATGATACAAATAAAGCCGCGGAATATAGCTAGTAATATATAAGGTTAAACCAAAATCATTTGTATCCCTTTAAGATTAGGTATGTTTTAAGTGAAAATGAATATTTTTTCTAAGAAATTTCTACGACAAAAACATTCAATACATATCACTGCAAGGCCTGCAACACATATGTTGATTCCAATGTATCTGTCTATTTTTATTACCGTCTTGCTTGTATTTGATTGTCGTGTATAAATAAAAACTGACTTTATTTAGGTTAATGTGTAATCAAGTTAGATAACAGTTTTAAATATCTACATTATGAACATATTTTTGTAGTTCAATGGCAGAAGTCAACTATTTAAACAATTTTAAGGTAGATATCCACACATTGCAATAAACATATTCTAACTAATAATTGCCGTGTAGTTCCAGCAAAGACTGGGCCATCCCTTCCTTTCTCGTGGGTGTCGTAATAGGCGACTAAGGGAACTTAACGGTCAAGAGATAGGCAGCAGCATCCCTCTTAAAATACAACCAAATGCGAAACTGCGATTGCCAATCCGCCTACCAATCGTGGCAACTACTAGCAAAATTTCCCAATGATAAATTGCCATAAGAACCGACCCCGTTCCTTATGGCAGTCTTTGGAGGTAGCCTGTGTTCAGCAGTGGACAGATAACTGATAAGAAGATCTAATAAACTAATATAATTTGGTCACTACGTATTATTATTCTGTATCTGTACAAACTAAACTTACTTACCTGTACAATTCTTTTGGTTCAATGGCAAAAGCCATATTTTAAGATAATTTTAATTAAGATATGGTAATTTTTTTTATTGTGCTTGTATTCTTAATATGTATGTTTTTTTTTTATTATTTATACAAACAATAAATATATAATAAATTACATTATGAAAACAGATAATGTTATTATATAACAGATGATATACGTGTACTCGTGTACCAATTTTCTTTTAAATCCATTGATCCGTTTAAGCGTGATTGAATAACTAAGACATTTTTGTCTATAATATAATATATAGTACCCAAGCATATATCAATATATCTCATTTAAATAAGTAATAAACTCTGTAAATAGGTTATAAATCCCGTCACATGTAATCAAACTCCTTTCTTTTAATTTCAGGAGAGCCGATACGATATGATCCGAATTTCAATGGACCAATACACAAGCGATCTTGTACAGACATCATCTGGCTACTTGCATTCATACTATATATTTGTCTATGGGGTTACGTAGGTTATTATGGTATGTATGTAAACCTTTTATTTAGGGATTATATTTTTATACAAATTAACAATAGACCTCCACGTTTCCTAATTATTTGCGTAAATTATTTTGACTAGGTTATTTTTATGCACATGGAATGGTAAACAAGCTAATGACCTGAAGGGAAAAAGGATTGTTAGTGATAGAGTCAAACTGCCCCATTGCTAATAATATACCCAATCAGGTCGATGTCCATGATTCCCCTTGAAAATTTGTAATTGTTAAATTCGTCACGATAGGCCAACTGGCCTATCTGACTTTATCCTCATCTATCATCACTCACTAGAGCCCCTCCAGTAGCGCAGGTGAGGTCACTACTTCAATTTCATCTGTTAAAAAATAAGAATTACCAACTTGATGAAAATCGGTGACCGTTCCGTATAATTAGGAACAGCACTACATAATACACTGTAACGCCCATTATACCCCTCATGCGTTGTCATTCCGGAAGACTTAAGGTATTATAACCTCATATACCCTGTAATAAATAAATTTTCTGAATTTGATATTTTATGGGTCTAAATTATCTTGTCATATAAGTAATAATAAATAAATAGCTAAAATATAAATAAATGTTTTTGATAAAATTGAAATTTTGTCCTTTTATATTTGAAACGAGGAATAGTACTTAATAAGCGCTAATTATTCTATGCATATTAAGAACTTGTTTCATGTATATAAAATCTTGTAAGTTGGATAAACTTTTTAGTTAAAAAAGCAAAGAGATATTTTTGATTGAAAGTGCCTAAAAATCTTAAAAAAAAAGTTATAACATTCGAGATTAATGCCAAGATCTGACCCATTATGAGTGATGGTATAATGAGCTTTTTAGTAACCCGTTATACACATATACTAGGTTGTCTAGAAGAGATTGCTTTAGCGGTAAGACCACTTTTTGTACTTTAGAAGTGTATATACATTTGTATTATTCCTTCAGTGGTGAAATGAAGAGTAAATAAAAGAATAATAATTTGTTTTTTAACGCTACGCAATTTTTATGTTATTACTTTTTAAGGTCCATCAAGCTTCTAATAATATATACATTTTATATATAAGTAAGGTACATAAGAAAACCTGTGACAGTATTTTATATCTTTTCCAATGTAATATTATTCAGGTAAAACACATGGAGACATTGAAACATTATTGGCGCCTATGGATTCAATGGGCCGTCGGTGCGGCCTTAATTCATACGTTGAAGACAAAAAGTACTTAGTGTTCTTCGATATTTCACAATGTCTGCGACCCGATACCGCCATCGCAGGCTGTCCTACGACACAGGTAATCTTCTAAAAATACTTTTAAAAGTAAGCAGTTTCAGATCAGTTAAAAATCATAAGACTACGAACCGCAGGTCCGAAGAATGAATCAAGCCAATTATTTAAATTCATGTTATTTAAATCATTTAAAGAATTATTGCTATTCGCTCTATGATTTGGAGAGCAAGTAAATAGACTTTAAAACGGACGGATTGATCCCTGTTCAAGTTATAAACTTTTTCCCTATTATTATTTAGTAGGTTATTGAGTAACAAACATGCAAATTAACATCTAACTAATTAAATATCTATATAAATGTTCACGTTTATAATAGTAATAGGAATATTGTTGATATTTCAGCATGTCGGATTAGCATGAGTTCCTTTGTTAATTTGTTTCAACATCGATCGTTTGTTTCAAAATCGATTCCCCTTAAAGGATGAGCATTTTAATTTTTTAAGATTTGTAATAAAAAGTACTCTAATCCTGACTAATATTTATATATGTTTGTGTTTCCACTTGTTTGTACGTGTATTATGTGGGATAAAAAAAAACGTATGCAAATTTTTGCGCAAATGAAGTAGCGGGTAAAAACTAGTAACATAATAAAATCATAATACCTATTTTGTATTATAATAATATTTTTCTGATGTTTCAGGTTTGCGTCAAAGAATGTCCAAAAAATACAATACTCTTCGATACCCAGCTGACACCTGCATCTTTCGAGACCATGAAGAGTAGCATGGTTTGCACCATCGATGTAAACATGAACACGCTGACTTATGAACAAGCAAAGAGACATATACAGGACGGGGCATGTGCCAAATATGTATTGAAAAGTCAGCCAGGTAATTTGACAAATATTACCGGTTTTGTTTTAGATTTTCTTACTTATCTAAATAAATTTATGTGTTTAATAAGAACCCAACAAATGTAAGAGCCCCATTATTAGCTTACGTTTTACGGGATTACCTATACCTAGTTTCTTACAAGATAATTAAATACGTATAATTGATTTTCATTTTAAATTAATTCAAAATTGGTCAAAATTGTAAAAGTTTCTCCATCTAATTGAAGTTTGTCTGGACAAATTGGTCAAAATTATTAACTGAACTTCAGTATTGTTCCGCTGCATCGGCGACCTATCTACCATGCCGCAATGTAAGGAGGCTACAACGACAGCTAGCTCCATATGGGGACACACCGGTAGCGGTGGCACCTGCGTGCGGAACCCCAAAGAGGCACAGAAATCGTTATTCAACAGTGCGACAGCTCTCGACTCATATGTGGGCTGGATTGCCGCTAGCTGGGTGACATTCTTTACGAGCAACGAACGAGATACCCACGTTGTAGGTATCAGCCGGTCCCACAAATTGCCTTGCACGTAAAACCTGACTTCAATGTTTTAACCTTAGATTATATAGATAGTGTCTCCATAGAAACGCTTTAAGAAAAACGAGTCAACTTTTTCATACAATTTTGCGTGATAAATAGTTATGAGTGATTCCTTTATAACGTCTATATTTATTTTGTCTTATAATTTCTGCATCTTTTTAATGCGTAAACGCTTATTTTATTTATTAAATAATACAGTAAGATACATTTTATGCGTAAGTATATAGAACAGTGACAAAAACCAAGTCGGCTAATTTGACAATTAGCTAATAAAAAGTTGATCCGTTCTTGAGCCTCGATGTTCTATCTATATAATCTAAGGTTTTAACATAACCTAACCGGCATGATTCACCTGACTAATACGTAGGTATAAATAATCGACACTAATTAAATTAACATTCGATTAACTGCACCAGTAGGGTAACCGAGTAGTTATATCCTTCGCACGGTTTCCAATTTCCATTGTGCCTCTCTTATTCATGAATTAGCATGTAAGATCTAACATTACAAATCCAATTTACAATAAATTACAAACTAATCACCTGCGTGTTCGATGCATGAAACAGTCTTCCGCCGGTGCTTAGTCAACGTTACCGAAGCTTTGGAAATGGTGGAGGAAATATATAACGCTACTGTAGGACACGGGCTCGACGCAGATCAATTGTATAAACACGTCAACAATATAGGCAATATCAATGAGGTACGCAATCAGAAATACATATATTAGAGCGCTTAATTTTTCTTAAAATAAGTTTATCAATTGCTAAGTAAACCTTATTTGGCCACTGTCTGTCTGTTACGAAAAAATAGAAAAAAAAAAGCTAAATCAATATTGTACCTCGTTACAGTGTATATTGAAGAACTAATTGTAACTTAAAAAGCGATTCCTTTAGAAAAATTCCCTACAGAGTAGGTATTTTTTTTATGGATGATAATGGAATGATAACCCCGCCTGCGCTATCGCTATACACTGGCGGAGGAATGATCGGTAAGGATTTAAAGGCAGGTCAGTTAGCCCACCGTGACGAGTTCAACGATAAATTAGTCACGATGGTTTTCAGCGAGAACCACGTAGAAGTCGACCTGATAGGTTATATTGATATCAATGAGGACTAACCTCCCCACTGATAACAATCCCTTCCCCCCACAGAGTAGGTGCTAGGCATGGGATTACTCATAATATCCACATTAATGGATAGTGATCCTATACCGAGTTCCTCTGGACATTGACGGTGGAAAAAAAATATCACTCATTTCGATAACGCCCACATCGGTCGGATATCTATTTTCGAATATGTTAAAAGTCTGTTATCCAATATTATTTTTTAGATAACAGATTTTAACATATTCGTTATTGGACTAGTACGAGTATATAGATATTGTAACAAATATATAGATATTGCTATATATTACCCACCCGTAGTAAGTACTTACCTATTTAATCCTTTATAATTGCATGTTACATGTACCTACCTACTACGCATATTACATGTACTAGTATAAATGCTTCTGACTATAGATGTTATAGATACCTACTATACACCAATAACATTATAATTCACCGAAAGAAAATCCTCTAACTTTATTAATAGCTATTATTTAAAAATAGGTATATTCATAAATAATTTCTTGGAGTATTCATACAAAAGTTTTCACATAACAGTAATGTCTTGTGTGTTTACAGTTGTCGGCGCAGATAGTGCAAGACTTGGTACAGTCGCGGTGGTACATGGCGGGCGGAGTGGTGGCCGTGATTGTCATCTGTTTCATATATATTTGCCTGCTGCGGTGGGTGGTCGCCCCCGTAGTATGGTTATCCATCGGTGGATTTTTCGCATTGCTCGGATTTGGTAATAGATCAATACATTTTATTTATGAAATCAAATTAATCTACAGAATGAAATAAAAGTCGTTAGCCATAATTTACCCATACTATAGAATGTAGAAGGACAAATTTTGCGAAATGAAAACTAAAAAAATGCAAAAAAATTTGAAACTCCATATTACGCAGCGTGTCTAATTGTCAAGTTATTATGGAAAGTTCAAAACTTTTTGTTTATGGACCCACGTCGGTTTGAAGAAATTAACGATTTCGATTCCACCTTAAACAACTTTCATTAGCTTAGGAGTGCCACGACCCATAAAATAAATTATTTATGTCCCATTGCTGAACACGGGCCTCTTCTATTAAAATGTTATGTATACTGATATTCCTTTAAAGTTTCTTCCTCTTGATTCCCTTTTATCACACCATGGGATTGAAAATGAGTGGTGACATATATTCTTATTCTGTCACCACACGAACATGACCATCATAGTAGTAGTAGTAGTCCTAATACTTACACAATTTGTAATGTTTATAGGTGAGAGATCATGCGGACCATTTACTTGAATTCCAATTTTGTGATATTAAAAAACATGATTTTACATTAGATTAAATCGATTATTTTTTGTTTTTGCATTGTGAATTAATGAATGTACTTAAGAACTCATTACCTAGATGTATGAGAAAGTCTTGGTTATTTACCAATTTATTGACCGCTCTTATTACAATACATAATTCAAAATTCTCTTCCAGTAAAATTTTGGAAAAAACAAATTTGATATGCAGTATTATAATTGTGTATTACGATTTTTACCAACTTATAATATCGCTTTGGTATTAGAATAGGAATACGTATCAAACTTCGATATAAAATTATTAGATATTGACGAAATTCTTTTCCAATTTCAGCGGTTTACTTGTGCTACAAGAACTACAAGTATTACCTCGATAACCCAATACACATGTCGTCGACTACCAACCTTCTGGGCTACACGCAATCCATGTTCACTAAACACCAAACATGGCTGGCCATCCTTATCATCGCTGCCATTACACTTGTCGTAATGTTGCTCATAGTGATATTCTTGAGGGGACGCATAGTTATTGCCATAGCGCTTATACGGGAGGGAAGCAAGTGAGTATATATCAAATTGATAACAATGAATGGAGGAAAATTGATCTAGTACAAGTTTATTTTTAGTATAGACAGTCTAAAAATATATTACAGACTGCATATGTTATTATGTTTTTTTAATATAAAATCATACTTAGTACGCGTGGATTTCAGAAGTGGATTTTACCAGAGGGAAACTTTGTACAAAAGTCGAATGCTTGGGTACCTCTGTTCTATTCGTGTTTCAACCGTAAAGAAGTTATGTTTGCATGGCTGTGGTTTGAAGGGTGGGATATGGCGTGAATTTACTGGGTACGGAGGAATAACACCTGAGTCCTCAGGAATGGCAACGCATGGGGGTATCATGGGCGAAACAGTATACTCTGTTATGTCCATGGTACAGCTCATGTCTATAGGCGACAGTTACCACTTTTCATCAGATGGGCCGTCAGCTTGTTTGCCATTCTAAGTTGTATAAAAAAATGATGCAAAACCAATGAAACAGATCACTTTTAGATTTCGTATCATTATAAAACATACACCTGACCGTATTGAGCAGGAATAAAACCACATCCAATTTGGTGCAATATTTTTCCGTGATGCTGGAACAAATATATAAATAGACAAAATTTCTAAAGTTTTGCATTCTATTCCCTTGTTAAAATATGTCATATTATTTTTTCTTAAATGTCTACGATGTACAAACATAGACTCATTACAGTTTTATTTCTCGAAGTAATGTTTTGTGTGTATAATAAAAACTGTTATGTGTTCACATTTAACAATCGATTTATTCCAGGGCCGTTACCGCTATCAAAACAACTGTTTTCTTCCCAATATTCCCGTGGATCTTACAGTGTTTTGTAATCGCATATGGCGTCTTCGTACTTATGAGTTTGATTTCTATTGGTGAATCTACATTCAAGGTGGTCAATCTTAAGAATGATACAAATTGTCAATGTAGCAGAAATTATACGGTGAGCGAAATACATATTCTACTAATACAATAAGTACTTATGTATTAGTGTATTATGTTAGGTATTTATTTATACTAATTGGTACCGATTATAAATATGAAAGTTTATAGTTTGCACGTTATTCTATTATGATTACGGATGAAAAGTACAGGTACTAATACAGGTGGGCTGTATTCTGGATACTTTACAATGCCCAGGAATTACTAGTACAACACATGTTGAAAAACATACTCTGGCAGACGGTGTATCGTGATCCCCGTAGATAGTTATTTATTATATGTGCCCATAGTGTCCCATTTATGTCTGTTTATGTTTATATTTGGTACCACTATCCATAGCAGACCCCCAGGTTTGTCACTCCAAGATCTACAAAAAAATTCACAGATAAGCAACTTCCATCGTGACACTATAAAAATAGTCCCGTACTTTAGCTAGGAATAAAACCTACCAATTATAGAAAGCATCAGCAAAATCTGTTCATACTTAGTTTAAATATAACATAACTACAAAGATGCAAAATTATATATTAAATATCTACATATGAATATAGGTAGATATATAGACATAAAATATGCTAACATACCAATAAAGTAGTAAAGGCAGCATAGATTAAGGATATATAATATAATTAGTATTATTTTAAAAATTAATTAGGTATCTATATATTTTTGTTTACATTTGTTTAATGTACTAATAGTTACTCTCTACCAAATAGTCTGAACTAAAATAATAATTTCAGGATTACACAAATTGCAATCCGCTTGAATTCTCGTCGAGTTGTCGCGACAGTAGCAGCGGATCACCACAGGCTTGCAAACTCGCCTCTTGCCATTTTACAGGACTGGAGGGCCCACATGTCATCATTTACTTGCACTGTTAGTAAAGACATAGTTCTACACATATTTAAACGTCCCAATATGAAAGGCGAGAAGGGATTATTAGTAATAGGGACTAGCAGTCCCGTTACTAGTGTAGTATGTATAAGTTATAAGTATACCACTTACTTATTTCCCGTCAGCGTATATAACTGTATAACACAGAATAATATTTAATAATATTTTAACATCAGGGGAAAAGGTATTAATAAGTAGATCTAATTGCCCCAGTGCTAGCAATAAACTCTACCAGGTTGGCTTATATATATTTTGTTTACAGTGGTGAATTTACTGGGCTTTTTCTGGATGATGTTTTTCATCAGCGGTGTGTCCGATATGATGCTCGCAAGTACATTTTCTACATGGTATTGGACGTTTAAAAAGAAGAACCTTCCATTCTTCACTCTCACATCTGGCATATGCAGAACTATTCGGTGAGATTCTGAATAATGTATAACTGTAGGGAGTCAAGTAGTACAGTAGCATTATTATCAGATAACAGCAGGATGGTTTGCAATTCATCGCGGGTATCTATGTACGCTTACTACAAATGATAAATACAACAGTGTAAAGAACTATTTTTATAAGACGTCCACTAAACAGGTTTCGATAAAAAAATACACCCCGAATTAATATATAATCGTTCAAGAATTGCCAAGGCATTGAAGCGCTGGTGATTCCTTAAACTGTGACAATACCATGTTTGTATATCTGGTATTTTATATTTCGTTATAACATTCAAGCTATTGAACGGATTTTAATCGTTGAAATTTTTTGTGATTTGTCATGATCATGAAAGTTCCAGAGGAAAATCACATAATAACAATAAAACAGAATAAGTAGGGCACATATATATATATATATGGAAATGTAATTTGATGTAAATCCACCCATAAGGTTACTTATGAGTACAATATGACTATTATTAAATTTTAGTGGTTGAATACACAGTGGGTCTTAATATTATAAAAATACATTTGTTATCAGATCAATAAATAATAATAGGCAACTACTTATTTAAATATTGAGGAGTAAGATCTTTAACGATGTAATTGTCGTCCCTTTTTTCAATTAATGTGCCCATGTAAATCCATTTACTTGCTTCACCAGGTATCATTTAGGTACAGTTGCCTTTGGGGCACTTATCATCGCCATAGTACGAGTAATAAGAGTGATTCTAGAGTACGTTGATCACAAGCTGAAGAAGTTTGACAACGCCTTTACGCGCTGTGTACTGTGCTTTTGTAAATGCTGCTTCTGGTGCTTAGAGAATTTCTTAAAGTTTATCAACAAAAATGCGTATATTATGTGCGCAGTACATGGAAATAACTTCTGTACGAGCGCAAGAGACGCTTTCTCTTTGCTTATGAGGAATATTATTCGCGTAGTAGTATTGGACAAGGTGAGTTCTCAAATTTCAAATTGATTTACAAATCTAAATTATTGTAATTAGAGTTCCGCATCAACCACCTTAAGGAACCTTTACGATGCGAATTTGTACGTTGGTCCGTCCGCCCGTCACAGTTCTGTATCTTAGCAACTACTAATGCTATCGATTTGATATAGTTTTATACGTATTGCAATGAAAATAATTAAAAAATATATTTTTATTTTCTTTGCTAGGGGGATTTAAAAAGAGAACAGAAATTTAAAAAATTGACCTACTAGTCCAAGTGGGGTTTTATATGAATGAGCTTCAGTTGTACGTTTTATAACTGATTTGTATTTAATATTATTTACATTGTTTAATTATGATCGAAAATGTGAGAAAAATACCAACCCCCTCCCTCCTTACCTCCAAAGGGGCGAAAAATCTAAAATAATTATAGTTGATAAAGGTAGACGTAAATATAACAGTCCTTTTTTAACCAAAAAGAAATTACGAATTGTATCTATTTGGTATACACATGCAATAAAAGTCATTTTATCACATATTTATATATTTATATACGGAACTGTCGACGTGAGTTCGATTCGCACCTGACCAATTTTTTTTTATCGAACGCATTGAAATAGTTCTTGACGAGTTATATTATATTCATCTATAAAATTTAATGCCGATTTAAAGACAGTATAGTATCTAGTGATATCACTATTTTATCTCAAGCAAAAAGCTTAGCAGCAAAAATATATCGGGAGAGAGGTACTTATGCAAAGAACTTTGTAGAAACACATTTCTCTGTTGTAATATAATAATCTATATTATTATCAACAGGTAACGGACTTTATATTTTTCCTGTCCAAATTATTGATCTCAATCGGTGTGGGTTTCGCTGTGTACTACCTCTTGCAGTGGAACTACGTATATGAAGTGACGCAAGGAGCGCGTCTCCACTATAACTACATTCCTGCTATTATATTAAGCATTATTACATACCTCATATGCTCCATTTTCTTCAATGTTTACTCAATGGCTGTTGACACACTATTCCTTTGTTTCTGTAAGTATTTTGTTCATAATCTATCTAATACTAAAATAATAAAAGGTATTCTGAAAATTCTGGACATGGCTGATTAAATTAACAAATTAAAAATTAGTTCCTTGTAAAAATTCCTGTATGAGACAATGTTAGATAAAATATGTTTGAAAACTTCCTTTATAAGTATACTATAGATGTTAATTAATTTCATAATTATGAACTCAAGACAAATTCGAATTTAAAAAAATCTTTTCTTAGATAATTTTGAATAATAAAATTATGATATTTTTACAGTGGAAGACTGTGAAAGAAATGATGGATCACCAGAGAAACCTTATTTTATGTCTAAAAATTTGATGAAAATACTGGGAAAGAGAAACAGGAAATCAGATAGTGCCAAACATGTTGATAACTAAGTGATACAAGAGTTGTGAAATTCCAAGTAGATCTACCTGTGATTAATTATATTACAAACTTATGAATCACTAATTGTGAATTTATTATACACGAAATCAAGACCATGTGGTCAGTTCCAGGAGAGCTTCCAGAGGCTTCCAGAGGATGTTCTAGACATTCTCAAAATAATAATATTTCTAAAAAAAGTTCAGTTTAAAATGCCAATTCTTTTAATGATACTTTCCATCGTTAATGATAATAACCAGATAATATATATCTGACCAAATTATTTTTTATGTAATATGATAAATTCGAGCACCTCATATGCAGTATTTTATAATAAGTTATTATGATATAAAAATGCCAAATGTTAAATAAAGTAATATAATTAGATTTTTAGATATAATAACAATGTTCTATTATTGTAACTGATTTTAAAAATTTTATATTTGATATACTACTTTGTACTTTATACTATATTTATGTGTATAAAATCAAAATTGTGATTTTTATGGTTCATACTTTTTATAATGATTCTGTACTTCTCACTTAATTTATAATAATGTGATAATATTAATTAATAAAATATTTTTCACAAAATTTTTATGTTAATTAATTTTATTCTTCCATGATATTGTTTATTCTGTGTTGTGTTAAAAATGAAATATCCAGCATAGTTTCAGGGTCTAGAAGGTCCTTCACTGAATCATATTTTAAGCTTTCTTCATATGCAAACATTATACTAGTATCGTCCAGCATCATTTTGGAGGCTACCAATGCAGCAATGCAATTTTTCACTCTTGCCATAGTTTCCCTGTCAGACCTGCTCACAGACTGTCGAAAAGAGTAAATATTCAGTCATTATTCTTAATTATTAATAAAGACAATTTTATATGAAAAGTAATTTACAGAAGTACCACAACCTGTACACATTTAATATAGACACTGAATGATCAATACCAAAAAATTTCAAGCTTTATTTATAATCTATGAAATCTAACCCCCACCTGTTGGTCAACTGTATCATCATCCTTTTGTTCTTCCATCACCCCTTCATGATTTTGTGGACTTATCCAAATGTAGCCATTATTGCCTATGATAATTGCCACCCCACATGGTAGATTGTGAAAATGATTTTTTCTTCTTTTAATTAATGATGGATAAACTTTTACTAATGTGCCTTGTGTTAGCTGAAATAAAAAAAAATTAAAAATTAAAAAACTTCTAATTTTTCAATTGATCATTTAATAAATTAATAAGTTATAATACCATACAGTACTTAGCTTCCTTTTAAATTATTCCTTATAAACTAATTCATATATGATAACACAAAAAAGTCATATGTTTAATTACAAAAATACTACATCTACCAACTATCTAATATTTAAAGTACTACTGCCGACCGGCCTTTGTTTGGGATTCAATAGTGCTATGTATATAATATTATGTCTTAGGAGTATGTATTAAATCTTATAACTTTACCTTGCCATATTTAAGACTTCTAGTGTGCAAGGACAAGGAACCATCAGAAAACACACTTTGCACTTCTGCACTAATAAGATCACCTTCTTGAAGATGTTTCCTCATCATTTGTTCATCTTCTGCTGATCTACGACGCTGAAATCCAATATAACTATTGTGTCTCGGCATTTTAATTTTTTATTAATTAAATTGCAATATATATTTTTTTAATTGGTAGTGTAAGGAAAGATGTAGAGATGACCTCCTCTAAAGGAAAGTTGTCACAATTTGATAAAAAATAATGTATAAAGATAAGCCTGTTAATTTAACAGTAAAACTAATAACTTACTAATTCGCCTCCTGGGAGATTAACAGATGATAATTGTAGAACTGAATCTAGCCGAGAATTGGTTTCAACCTTCCATCGTCTTTGCTGCACTTCTAACACACGACCTACAACTACATCACCTATTTCACCCACATAACGACTCTTTAATGGGCGGATACAAATTAATTTGTTTACTTTTTCCATAACTCCAGCAACAGAAGCCTTGAGACAATCATCTTCAGTGTATGTCCCATGGCCACTAAAATCACAAATAAATTGTTTTAAATGCTTATACACTAAACAGTGTTTTTTAATGTTCTATTTCTGTGTAGTGCAAGTTTAGCTTGCGCTTACCGCATGAAATCCTGCATACCAGTTATAACCTCACCAGGAGTATAAAATCTAGGAGGTTCATTCATCGTAGCAACGCAATGATTAACTCTTTCGGACGCTAATCTAATTGAAACGTGGCCCGTCATATTTAATTATTAATTTCTATTAACGTATATAAAGAATGATATTTTAAAAGTAGAAAACAAAACCAAACAAAACAATGCAATGCAAAGATTAGACAGAGAGTAGTGATGCGCACTGTACTAATCCGAATAATAATTACGCAATCGATTAAATCAATTGGATTATTCGAAAGACTTTCAAATTATTCAACAATTAACTTTATTTATCCAATACTAATGTAAGCCGACTTCTAATGTCGCCCGACTACTAATATCATTCGCGTACTAATTTAATTCATTAGTAGTCGTTGATGTACGAGTCGCACGAACAAATCGAATTGAACCGATCGTTGAATTTTTTTTTGTTAATAGAAAAGAGCAAATTATTAGGAAATAATCGCGATGTATATTAGAAAGGAAAGTCGGTGATTATTGTTCCTTATTATGTATAGTACAAAATAATGTATTGGAACTTAAAGCATGTGGTCGATTTTTGTAGTAGTAGATACAGGAAAAGGACTTTGTTTTAATTAGTTACTAATTAGTAAAATCATTCGATTTTAGTATGGTTTTAATTATGTAGGCGAATGATTAAATTACTAATTATTCTAAGGAGAAAATCAATTGGTTCGCATCTCTATTAAAGAGCAAACAATGTCAGGTCGACACTTCACATGGTTTAAACTTCATATCAATGACAGTGACAGCACGTTCAGGAAAGTCAGTGAATTTGTAACACCGACCAAAGAATTGCCATTACTAATTACTTATTTACAAAACTAAAAAATGAGTTATGCGACCACCTGAAAGGATTAATACAAAAAGATAATTAAATTATTTTTATCCATATCACAGTAACGTTTGAAGTAACACAGGTCTGACTATGACTGAATTGCTTAAATACAGTCTCTTTATACCCAAATCTATGCAATTAGTTCATTGAATTTAAAAAAAAAATACATTTTAAAGTAGCTTGATATTATAACGCCTGTCAATATCGATTATTTTGAACAGAGATATGTTATAAATTGTTATATATATGATGAATGTTCGTTTATTTTATTCTGTTGATACTTGATAGATAGTTGCACAGACTAACATTGCAATTTTGTTAATATAAGAGAAGTGGCGACTCTTGATTAACATATTTAAATATTTATTCTTGCTTTTTCTTTATTTCTTGATCACAAACATTGTATTTTATTACATACAATATTTTCATAAGTGAATAAAATGATCTTACTTCGTTCGTCATAGTATACATAAATTATAGCTTTATTCAGTGTATTATGTTGTAAATTATATTTGTATAATCATAAACGTTGTGAACTTTAATCCAACTATATAATTAGAAGTTATAGCAACTTTTCTACTTTCGTTATTTTTCTATCAAAAGCAAAACAATGTCTGCTGCAAACGCAGCTCCCATTACAGCTACAGACAGCTTATCTCAAGCACTAAAAGCCAATATCATTCCTAATCAGGAATATTTACTGCAGGTAAGAAATTTATTCATTATATATATATAATTGTTAATGTCAGTATAATCGAAATTATTATACCAGCTAATGATTAAATTTTTGATTTTAGGGATCTGTCTTAGATTCTGCTGTAGAAGTATTACTTCATAGGTTACGCGGCCTTTGCGATAATGTTGATGCTGGCCCTGAAACGTTTAATGACCAAGAAGTTTGTTTTAGTCTACGAGATCCTAATCAACAGGTAATATTAATAATTTTTAAATAATTTTATTCTGCAAGATTCAACATTTATCTTAATGCTATAAAATATAAATATCTAACAAAAAGATTTCAGTTTTTGTCATCAAGAAATTATATTTTTTCTTTTAAATGGCCCATCTGAATATTATCATATTTTACTAAACATTACAACATTACTTGTCCTTTCTCATTGATCTTTGTACCTGTATGTATAATTATGTAACCACTAATTGAGAGAAGAAAGGGTTAACAATAACATCTTAAACCCAGTTTCTACTGACATGTAAAAATTTACTATAAAAAAATCACTCATAAAATTTGACATATTGAGCCAACTGGACTCACTTCATCCTTACATATCTTCACTCACTGGTACCCTGCTGGTGTATATCAATAGTGAAGCTAGTTACCATTTCATATACATGATGTACATCTTAATGTCGAAAACAGTTTATTAACAAATACAGTATAAAAGGTTTTGAGACATCACAACAAGTACTGTATTAATAATTTAATTCTCAAATAAATAACTATTTTTACATTTGTTTTATTATTTTAAAAAATAACACATACATATGCCACACCTAATTTTCCAGTCGATAGCACAAAGTAAAGAAAGAACTCAAAATACTTTATAAAATAAATTATAACTTATTATATTTTCCATAATTTTTTTATTACAGGCTGCACCTTTAATGTTGAGAGTACGTAAAGCACTTGATGTACGTGACATGCCATATCAGCTCCGATACATTGGGCAGCCTGACCTTGGAGACAAGAACCGGCCTACTGTTGTGAGGTCCAGTCTTGACATTGCCTGTAATGGTATGCTGCTAGAGTTTCTCAATGAGCTGGGTTGTCGAATTGAATTTGAATATAGTGTTAAAGGTAAATTATTTTGATATAAATTACATGTAAAGATATTATTGAATTTTTCTATTACATGTAACAATCTATTCATAATAATATTATAATCATTATTCGTTACAGGTTATATGTTTAGAAAAGGCCGTATGAAAATCACTGTTGCTAAAGTTTTCAAGATCTCACAAAGTTCAATGACACCAGAACCAATATCGCAGAGCTACTTAGTAGAACTATCTGTATGTATTTTTATATTTGTATTTCCCTTCCTTTCACATGATGTCATAAGAGGTTAGTTAATGGTCAAGCAATGGGCAGCATCCCTCTTAAAACATCACCAAAGCCTAACTGTGGTTGGTTAACCTGCCAAGTGTGACATCTACTGACAAAACCCCCCTTATTGGGGAGGCCTATGTTCAGCAGTGAATGGTTTATGGCTGATGTAATATGATGTATATATAACATATATATTATGATATGACATAATGACACCAAAACCTACTTTTAGATCCTGCACAAACTTTGTTTTTTTGATATGTCTGTTATAGTAGAATACAATTGTATATATATAATGATTTGCATGAAGCACACAAAACATATGAATTACTACTTACCATAAAATGTTTTCCGAAATTTCGGAGCTAAATTAAACAAAAATTTGATGTTGAAATTATATAATACTGTTTAAAAATGTTAAAATATTGTTCTCTTGTACTTTGTGGTAGGATTTGTGACAAATGAAATTTTAAGCTCCATTTACTGGTTCAATTTTAATATGAATAGGAAATTAAGTTCGAAAATTCGGAATTTTTTTCATGATAGACCCCCTGATCACTTTAATATGTTGATTTATGTAATGTTTCAAGAAAACAGATGTTTCATTTTGGACCCAATTACAGTACAAAAAACATTGAGAAAATTAAGGGAACTACCAACATAACTGTAGAAGATTAATTTATTACTTTAGATACTATTTATTTTCTAGGTCCTAGCACCACAAGGCCAAGATGCTATTGCTGAAGACATGCGTGCATTTGCTGACCAACTGAGACCTCTCGTACACCTTGACAAGATTGACTACAAGCGGCTGGGCCACATGTCCGTCACATAGCCAATGTTTCTCACTTAGACTGTCTTAGCACACTTTACTTTGTACTTCAGAGACTTGTGCGAAGACAGCCTCAGTTGTCGAAGTGAAATTTTATAAATGAACTTTGTATTTATTTTACGTGCTACTGTGATTTTTAATCTAGTAATGTTATCTGTAGTTACTGTGGACTTAAGTTCAATACAATGAAATCACAAAATTGCAGAATTTTGTAAGTTAGCATCACAGAAAATGAAAAATAGAATATAGCTTTCTTAGAAATATCGAGCAACAACTACATCAGAATTATAATGTGTACGAAATTTATTAATAAGACATTAGTAAGATCTACAGTACTATTTGGGAACTAATTTAGTTATTGTCATTTTGGTGAATCATTATAGGATTTTACTAACTACATTCCTAATTACGATTTCGCTAAATGGATCGCTTATTACAACTTTATTTATCTATTATTACAATTATTTTATTTATCAAAATTTTATTTTTCTACCAAAATTTATTCCTAACAATTCTGAAATGCATCCCAACTGCCATTTCTGTTTATATTTTTTTTAGAATCCTGTCTCGAATCACCAAAGTGACCATTTTAGAACCATCACAGGCCGCGTAGTGTTAAAGATATCCTTGTCTCTTGTCCGTCTTAAAGTATATATGAGTTAAAAAAAAAAACTCATTTAAAATTGTTGTCTTTTATAATTTATGATAGGTACCTATTTCTAATATACAGGAAAAAAGTGTAATACGTAACTGAAACCAGTGAAAATAATATTAGTTTCAGTTTTCTGCTCATGCAATTGTAACGAAATTATATAATATTATATATCAATTGTCAGTTATATTTATTCCATACTATATTAATTACAAAATTATTATTGCAAATGTTTTTATTATTTCCAGCTCACTACCACTGCCTTCGATCAGTAGATGTTATCTAACAAAATCGGGATTTTTCTTCGATCCTTTTACAATAATGTGATCCCCTTCGTAGTCTTCGTCTTCATACTTGTAACCGTGCACATACGCAAAGTTGCCGAAGTATAAACATTGTTCATAATTCATTGGAATGAATTCTGAAAGTTTTTTTTATATTTCAAAGTATATTGAGAGATTATTATATTTAAAATGTTTAATTTTAGCATGTTTCAGCGTCATATTATATATATATATATACATCTAAACTACACATATAGTTGATGTCGGGATTAAAGGTATTATCATAATTAATCGTCTAATCTTATACACAGACAATTTAAATATCTTTTCAATTTCTCGATTTTATATAATATAATCGCACTCACCAGCTCCCTCTATGCAATTGTAAAGGTCCATAATGCAGTGATTATCGAATATGTGTGTACTGTTATTCTTAAAGTTAAATGCACATATTTTTTGGAAATATGTGGGACATACACCGCATCTGTTGGGTAAAGGTATATATAAGTACATACTTATATAATTAAACAAACTGACAATAAAAAAAGTTTTTATGTTTATGCCTACACTCAAATACAACATATAAGTCATCGTTTACATACCGCCGTATTCTCGGGCAGGTATTACCAAAACTGGGAATAATGGGATCTTTTTTACATTTTCTATAATAAGTCGAAAATTATGCACCATAAAAAGACATAAACGAGTTAAGAAAGTGCAAATAGTCTTTTCATATGGCCTCCACTTGTACTGTTAGACTCATGTTGAACTTTTAAATACCGAATCCTTTTCGACACTCATGTAAAGAAAAATTGTAATCGGTTTCTTTGGAATATGTGTGAGTCATTGATATCCAAAACCATTTTACATTAATAACATAAGTTGTTGCTGAGATACAGCATCGTAACAGACAGACGAACAGATAATCGTATCCTAGAAATCCCTTTGTAATATTTTAATAGGGTACCATAAAAACGGTAAACCGCGAATTGAATTTTATTTATTTACATTATCTATCATAATTAAAAAACGACGAGTCATAAAGAAAAATAAAGACCGGTTTAAAATGTGCACATTGAGCCTTTTTATAAGATATATAGCAATAGGATGCCCATTTAAAATATCGTAAAATTTTTAGACCTCCTTGGCTAGCTAAAAATATTTTATTAATTGTAATAAAAATGACTCAAAAATATTTACATCAATCCAAATCAATAGCATTCATACTTAATATTAATTATATAATTAATAATAATACGGAGATATACCGCTTTAACAGGCGAATGAATAAGGTGCAACGCAACCCCTTTACAACTTTTTTTTTTAATATATAATTCTGAACACTAAAATAAAATTTCTTCGTGTGATAAATACTAATTAGGAATGTCTACAGAAGAAACAAACTAATTACCCAAAAATATACGTAAGCTGAGTTGTAACGGGCCAGCTCGAAGGACCAATATCCAATGAGGAAAAAAGATTTTCAAGTGTCGACTCCATAGAAACATACGCAGTATAGTATCACCCCCTCAAATGGAATGATGATCTCTAATGCGTTGCAGGGAATCAATGGCTTTAGGTGGCTCAGTATCTGTACTGTCCCTAATTACTGTCTATTCGAGAGACCTGTGTTTAGCAATGGACAATAGCTTAAATGATTATATCAATACTTGAATCTAAACAGCACCTACTTTTATATGTGTGTGCATAACGCTTTATCATGCACGCAAGTCGTTAAGCATACCAAATCATCAAAATGCAAACATTGAAAGAATCATCGCAATAGGTAATCAGTTTTTTCAAATAACAGTAAATACTAGTGGTTAAATATTAGACTGACAAAAGATTCTCGTATGCGATATCAGTCACTATATCCGGGTAAAAGAATTTTCATTTAGTCCGCCTTTAAATAAATACCTACTATATAGTAATGGTAATATGTCATATATGGGAAAGTACTTTACTATGATATTAATTGAGTATCAAATAATACTAACCTATGACCATCAGGTGCTGGATTTCTTTTGTATTCTATTTCTCCATTACCATTATTATTTTTGTATGCATTACTTAAATCTACAAGATAAATGTAAAATAAAAATTGTTATTTTACACGTGAGTTTATTAAAAAAAAAGTAAAATTAAAATATACCTAAGTGTAATATTATGAATTTAGATATATAAGTACATCCGTATAAGATATTATAATTCAGTGCTCATTACGCATCGTACCACACACAAAACATGATATTACTATCTGTTTACTAGTTGTATTCCATAGTTTTGTTTCCAGGTGAGTACCTAAGGTATTAATTTAAATTATATATCTAGTCTATATACTAAATTTCATCCAAATAAACTTTCATTTTTTTACTATATTTTTAATCTTGGTCGAATCTAAATCATACTATTAGGTAGTTACCTATTTTTAAAATCAACCCTTTAAATGTTCACTCTCCTTTTACATTCATAGATACATGTTTCATAGATAATTGTTTCTTAAACAAACCTTCTAATTTTCCTTGAATAAATTTCAAAACATTATTATAGTTATTATTACACTTACATATAATTGGTAAAATCCACGATGTCAATATACTAACGTGCATGATATTGGTTTATGAAAGTTTTACCAACGCATTGACAATCTTATCATTTCAATTAAATGCTTGTATGAAATTCGTAATGAAATTACATTACCGGAAAATTTTATGAATAATTTTGCATATCCTAATATACTTACTTCATATATATTATATTATTATTATATATTCATTTCTAGATATAATTTTAATCCATTTCAATTTGCAGCAATTTGCAACTATACATAGAAATCATCTAGACCAATATTGACAGACATACGTATGAATACAAATTATCATGAATAGGTACATATGTATTGTGCGGGGCTCAAACCCGCAACCATCGGAAGATAAAGTGGTGTGTTAAGCCGCTAGACTACCAAGGTCGTTAAAGATAATAAAACCGTTTAAATATATATTTATTTTATCTTACACAATAACGACAACATGTTATTATGATTAATAAAAAAATCTAGGTAAGTCTACTGAGAAACACAATAAGCCTAACAATTGCGGTATAGGAATATATAAAATTGCAATGCCTAAAGTTGGCGCCGTGGTTAACGCTTGTGTTTTGTGGATGGATGATTGTGGATGATGTGATGCGAAACGTGTTCGGTAACACGAACATTGATGAGTCACGTTAGGTATATGGTAAACTGACAAGTAAATAACTACTCACCGTAGATACAAATTTAAATAGATATCGCAACTAGATTTATTGCAGCGTAGTGTATAAATTTTTTACCTTAAAATACGCTAAAAATAGCTTATCTCTTTTTAGACAATTATCATACACGAAAATACAATCTCATTTAGAGTTTACATATTTTCAAAAGGTTTAAAGACTAAGGCATTTGACAATAATATTCTGTAGGTTTTCAAGGCATAGTTTTCATAGCAGGAACTTCTGTTCAAGTACCTTACATGAAGCAGCATAAACCTAGGATAAAAATGTCTATCTTATCCAGTCTATGTCGTACATACAGATAGGTAGTTTAGAAATAGATCTCTATCCTATCCTATCAATGTCTGTGTTGCTTACCGTTGTAGTTCTGTATGTTAATTATCGTAACACCCCCTGACCTACAAGGTGCCGATAACCTTCTGTACGAAGTCCTTTAATTGCTATTTTAGTTGCTGAACAACTTGCCGATAAAACTATCTACATGTTATTGTATCTAACAAAAGACAATAATAATACATAATGCGTAATTGGCAACTTTGTCTTTTTTATTAACCGGGTTAGGAACTCTACAAGAAATAAGAACATAAAATACTAAAAATTTAAATATTTGCCATATTTTGTATGTTTGTAGTCTGCTCTATTTTTAAATTGATAATCTTCTCATAATCATGATAAATTTTCAATTTAGTGGAGGTACCCAACTCGACAGTATTTTTGTGTGTATGTTACCATAGATAATTAATGTATATTATTTCTAAAATGTTGTAGGAAATTTGACCAATTATTCTATGGAAATATCCTAATTGAATATTTTTCAAATATGTATAGGAACCTGCTCTACATGTACTTATAAAATTTTCAAATACATCAATTACATAATTCTCAAACTTAAAAACCCTATGTGAGAAACCCAACCACGAGCATCTGTATACACAACCCAGGAAAGGCCAAAACCCGAGCCATTTCGGAAGTTTCTTAAACTGATGCAACTAAGGTTCGAATCCGGGATCTCATTTAGATAGATACACAAGGTAGTAAGATCTTAAAAGGACTTTTGAAGATCCTATAAGTAACATAAATACATACCTATTTATTTTTCAATATGTGAACTCAAGCTCAAGAGTTTTAAGTGTCTTTTTTATGAGAGTCTAATTCTTGGGTTTTTATTTGTATCAATTGTTCTAAATGTATATTGCAATTAAATATTACTATCCACAAAATAGGATATGGTGTATAGTGCGTAGCGTACTGCGTAGATTTGATTGTGAAAAGAACGAAGTATAGGCACGTAGGCCTATCGTGCCTACAGCGTGCGTGGGCAGCATGTCTAGTGGGTATGTTACGAATATGAGGCGAGGCCGAGCCAGCGAGGCGGCGGGCAGGCGGACGGTGGCCGGCGGTGAGGCACGCGGGGAGTCGCGGGCCCACCAGACTCGCTGGCGCTGCGTGGCGGTGGTTTGCCTGTTCACCTTGACGTTCACCAAACAGTAGGGCCTTATCCTTTTCTCTGTGACTAGTTAACTACAACCATGTAATTGTCGTACTATTAGTTTTGTAGGTAAATTTGGCGAAAAATAAATTCATTAAGTACCTACTTGCATATTAAAATATAATAATAAAAAAGTGTAAATGATATCTAGATTGAAGATGGATAAGTATCTGTTTAAGTAAACTTTCATACAAAACAGAATTACAACGCATTGCATATATACTAACTAATATCAAATATACAAGTATCGAATAGTAGCAATAGGTCTGTTCCATTCTTATATTTAGTTACATCTAATACTAACTCCATCTACCTAATATTTAAATAATATCTTTAAGGGAAAGGAATTATTAGTAATGGAGTCTAACAGGTACATTGTCAGCAATATACTCTATCAAGTCGACCTCCACGCGGTTCTCCCTGAAAACCATTGTAGTTAATTATTGTGGAATTCATCACAATGGCCTAATGACCAGCTTTCATCCTCACCTATCATCTCTAACTGGTGCCCCGTCAGCGTATACCGTTAACGCAGGCGCACTATTCCATATTAACCAATTAAAAAAATATCTAAATAAAAGAACGGAAGATATCTGTTTGTCGATATTATAAGTGTGTTTTGTGACTATTGTATGGAGCCGAATGTTTTAAGAAGGGGCAAAATTAAATAGTACTTTATGATATATAAAATATTTATATACTTCATTTGTTACAATAATCAGGGCCGTGCCTGACGGGCGTTCATTGCGTGCACCGCACGCAGGCGGCCGAAATTAAGAGGCGGCCAAATCGTTACAAGTTGTTTACTGGGCCGATTTCGGTTAACCAAAAACTGATTTTTTTCCCGGTTTGATGCCCTGTGTATAATAATAAACATTAAAAATTAAAGTAGTTTTTTTTAATGTTATCCTGGGGGCGGCCATACAGACTGGCACGCAGGCGGCCATATACCCAGGCACGGCCCTGACAATAATATATGTAGAGCACATATGATTCTATACCACTGTGTATATCTCACTATCACTCCTGAGTTTTTTTTTCAGCTTAACTCTTCTTTGCATACTGGTGGAAATTTCCATCATAACATTGAATGCCCAAAAATTATATAAAAGAACAAGTTCACTTTAAAGTGATCGTGTCTGGATATCTTTTTAATGTCCACTGCAGAAAAAAACAGGTGTAAATTTTTTTTTTTTTTTAATTTGAACATGTATTATATCACCTTGATTTATTTCACCAATAAAAAAATCATGCAAAGAAGGGTTAACTGTAGGAGTTCTTTATCTACGAAGCAGTAGAAGTGAGATTAAAAAAACTTTATTTTTATTTTATACAAAAATCCAAAGCTCTCTTACAAAATAACCGACATGTTAAGTCTCATATAAATACAGCCAATAACGGATTGTTACTTTTTGTCATGATTTAATTATTTCACATTATAAGCGTAATATGAAAAATAATTTTGTATTGCCCTCATTAGTCTCCTGTATCTGTAGTATATATGTAGTGGTAGCATTACTTATGTAACATGAGCGGTTGTACGACCCTCAATGGTTCGCTGACTGCGAGTCTCTGAACTCAATATACCTTCAAGAATGTAAACTTTAACTATTGTTACGTTGATACGCTTTGATAAAATAACTAGATATCAATGACTCATGATTGTACAATGTAGAGTTCGAACAGACATCGAATTAATATATTTCTGTTTAATGGTGGATTTCCAAGCCGCGAGTGTTTTACTATCACTCGGGGCACTATGTAGTATCATAGTCTGTATCAATAAACATTAGAAACTAATGAAAATTTAAACAAACCAATAGTACTTATCTTGTGCAAATAAAAAATAGATTAATTAAATGAAGTTTTCAATTTGTTATTAATTTCATTTAAAAAGTGTTTCTGTAAAAATTTCTTATTTTTTTTAATTTTTAATTTATCTTATTCAACTTTTTTTTTTTTTTTTTTTACAACACAGGGGGCAAACGAGCATGCGGCTCACCTGATGGTAAGTGACTACCGCCGCCCATGGTCACCCACAACACCTACGGCATTGCAGGTGTGCTGCCGGCCTTTTAAAAAGGAATATGCTCTTTTCTTGAAGGTTATGTTGTCGTATCGGTTCGGAAATACTGCTGCTGGAAGTTGATTCCAAAGAGTGGTTGTGCGTGGAAGAAAGTGCCTTGAAAAACGCACGGTGGAGGACCGCCACTCGTCCAGATGGTTGGGATGAAATTTTAGTTTATGGCGGGTTGTACGATGGTGAAAATCTGCAGCAGGTATCAATCCGAACAATTCTTCAGAGCACTCCCCATGA